GTCAACTAACTTGTAGCTAACTGCTTTCGGACATAAAAATCAATAAGAAAAACCAAATATTTTTTAGATTTTTTTACTTTTTTATGTATTTACTTTATTGTTATTTGGTTACATATTCTGCAGTAGGTGGTCCGATATTCGAACACCGTCAGACATAACTTCAAAATGATAATGTAGAATTTCGACCTTCCTTTTATTTGTCCTGGATACGAAAAAAAATCTGCGAAGTTCAGAAAAAAAAATGTATTGAAAGTAAGTTTTGTGTGGATATTTAAATAGAAACTTGCAAAGAAAACAAACTCCCGATAACGTCTGCACGACTTTACAACTAACTTGAAGTTCGTATTGTCACAGCTAGTTAAAAGTTAGTTATTTATCGAACTCCCCCAAAAAAGTTAACTTATTAGCTATTGTTGGTTATTTAATCAATTGATAATTTTTTTCTGCAGGGAGCGTTGGCTAGCAGTGGACATGATCGGGATAATGTATACATATCGCACACTGTCTTCAAAAGAGTCACAACTCAAAATAATACGTTCGTCAAAAAATGCGAAAAACTATTTCGTAGCACATGCTAATCATATGGGCAAATGCGACTTTCGCTTAGGTTTTTTAAACAAATTATAAAAAAGATTTGCTCCAGCTTTTGCTGAAAGGTAAATAAAAGCTCCGTGTACATTTTTAGCGCATAATTTCAAAAATGCCAAATTTTGAGTTGTGACTCTTTTGAAGACAATGTGCGATATATGTTGTTGAATCTTGTAGATATGTATGTACATATGCATATACTTATACACATATGGTTTGCACATTTCGAAAGAATCTAAGTGGTTATCGGTAAAAAGGACAAAGGTCATAATATATGGACCTTGATCCGTTACAATTGCTTTCCATAATCACATCCACTTGACATTTTATGTTGTGCGCATAAATGTATATGCATAAATCATGCACTTAAGCGATAGTTGCACTTGAATCGCATTATTTTTTTTTCTAAAGTAGGTACATATGTATATGCACACGTACAAAGAGATCACAACACGCATAAATATGTGCATACATATGTATATACATATGTACGAAAGATGTACACCCGAATAATTAGATAATAAAAACTTGTAAGTAAAAATATGGATGTGTACCAATGTATACACTCATACGCACATATGCACATACATATGTGTAAGGCTCCCTCAAGTGGGCACCGCATTTACCAACATTAATATTTTTCAATGATATTCAGGCAGCGCCGAGCTTTGCAGTCGAACAGTACACCGTGTAATTTTTGTTGCAAAATTCCAAATAGTTTTTTTTTAATCAACAATTGAAAATTTTTGCAGTGTTTTGGAAATTCTTAGTTTTCTTTGAAAGTAAGTGTCCGACGGAAAAAATTTTTTGTGCGCAGATTTAAGAAACTATATAAACTATACAATGAAATTATTTGCGTTACAAGAATATTTTTTTTTTTGTTTTTCAATCAATTTTTTATGAAAAATTAAATTTTTAAGCAATTTCTGTGCCTCTTGGACGAAAATTTTTAATCAACAACAACTACATTTGTGCATACAAACATGTGACGTAGAGTTAAGCCTAAAGCGCTGGTTATACTTACATTGCAAGTGCAGGGCATAGAGAAGCAGCGCATGTGAAGCACTGGTGTAATTATACTCGGCATAGAGCGCATAATTTTCCAGAATCAGCTGTTCAGTGTAATCAGTTAGTCTGTTCCAGTACTCCAGCATTTAGTTGGGAAAACATAACTTAAGAATGCTTATTCGTAGCTTAAATGAAGTCGACACTAAAGTTAGTTGCTGCTTTTTGTCATAATTTTCAATGAAATGGCGGCAACTACTTAACTTTATAATTGACTTTGTTTCGAATATAAATATGCCCCAATGTACATATGTACTTTTCAGTAATGCCTGTAAAACTGATGGGTACTGGAACAGACTAATGAGAGCAATGAGATTCTGATGAGATCTCTCTTTGAAAATGTCACATAGCGAAAAATCAAAAGCGTGCTAAACATATCTGATGGAAAATAAAAATATGAAGCAATCACAAACTAAAAAAATAATACTTAATAATTTAGTCCTCACTTGAAGAGCTTTTTACTATAATTCATATTTAAATATTTTTTGACTAGCCCTATGAGATTTGCTAAACTCATTCAGAGTATTACTTTTTCGTGATATTAAGAAATTATTATTTTGTAGCCGAATTAAGTTTTTCTCAATGAATATTGTGGCCATATGATTGGTTCAATCCAGTCCAAATATTTTGCTACATTCGTGTAAATTCCCGGAGAATTAGTCGCACACCCCAAGCCAAATGAAGTGACACCAATTATGTAAGGAACCGATTCGTACTCATTAGGTATGTGTAGAACTAATGGACCACCGGAGTCACCCTTGAAGGTTAAAAGGAAATTTCTTTAGTAACTTTTTTTTCATAAATAAAAAGAATATATCACATACTTGGCATGTATCTCTGTTGAATTGCAAATCTTTTGCACACAAATGTGTATCCATTAGGCCATTTGGCAACGCATCCAGATCGGCAAAGAAGAATTGGCACAGAAACGTATCGACGGTGGAGAGATAAGCCTTCAACAGCTGGTCGGATGGGCGACCACCTGAGAGTACATACATACATACATATGTGAATATTACTGAGAATTTGGGTGGTCATAATAAAACGATAATTCACAATTTTTCACCGCTCGCTATTTACCAAAGACAGTATCTCCATACCCAATGGCAGTTGCATTTTGATTGACTAAAGGCAAATGATCGGCAATACATGCTGGCTGGGTTTCTCCGCTATAGTAGAAACAAATTCAAATTCTTTTAAAAAAATACGTTTTTTTCTTTAACTTACGGTTGACTTTTCAATTTTATCAATGCAATATCATCATACGCTGTGGTAGGCTCATATTTTGGATGCACAACAACCTTTTCGATTTGTGTTGGTTTGAATTCGGTATTAGTCAAGTTAACACCACCGGGGAGAACCACAACCGGCGCGTCGCTATAGAAATTGTTATATATATATTTTTTTTTTGTAGTTTTTGGGGATGAATTCAAATTTGTGACGTTAATGATATACCATAGCGCAGTAACTTACCCTCCTACGGAAGCGCAATGTGCAGCAGTTAAAACCCAATTGTGGCTTATCAATGCGCCGCCGCATTTATATTCGTAAACATTCGATTGCGGTGTAGCCCAACCAAGAGCGACCTGCGGGAGGAGATGCAAATGTACATTTATGTTTAGTAGAAGTTTTTAAGTAAGGTGACCAACCGTCCCACTTTAGGAAGGACAGTCCTCCTTTTTTTAAGCCCTCCCAAATGTCCTCCTTAAGTAAGTACCCTAGCACCATAGCGATACATACATTTGTTGGGCGATTGCACCGGCACAAAAAAGGTGGTGTGTGCTTTTAACCAGACCCACCTATCGACTATATTTCGACCCGCTGAATCCGAAATTGATGTCCGTTTGACTCGTACACCCTCAAAATTTCAAGTAAATTGCAAAAAACTGAAAAAATTACAAAAAATTCTAAATTTTCACAATTTTATTTAAGGAATGGAAAAATCAAAAAACAAGAATAAGAAGTTTCCAATCCTCATACCGAAGAAAATTTTGTCTCTAAGCACTTTTCGCTTTCTGCAATAGTCAGCAAGCATGTAGAGCAGAGGTGGGCGGGATAAATTTTTTTTTTTGAAAATTGCCATTTTTGCCATTTTTCGACACTTCAAATCAGAATCAAAAAAAAAAACCTTTAACATGAGTTCGGCCCCCTTTTTTTAGATAAAATAGGACCAAATATTAGTGAACCGTATTATGATTATGCATTTATCATATGAGACCATGAGAAAAAAGGATATAAAAATAATAACTGCGGTATTTTACTGAAAAGTTCATTGTACCTACGTGATGCCACATATGAAAGGAAAATTAAAAGGGATGCCTCG